GGTGTCCTGCCAGCTGGGCTATGAAGCCACTGGCCAATGGTGGATGACTGTGATGATAATGATGATGATGATGATAACAACTTAGAGATAGGGTCTTACTATGCAGTTCAGGCTGGCCTTGAACTCACTATGTAGCCCAGGCTGGCCTCAAACTCTTGGTGATCCTCCTACCTCAGCCTCTTGAATGCTGGGATCACAGGTGTGCACCACCATGCTGGGCTTGGTGGGTGACTTTGGAAGGCCCCATTTTCCTGCCTCCTCCTCTGGCTGCCGCTCCCTGTCAGAATCTGGTTCCTTCCTCATGTTCCCCAGCTCAAAGACCGGCAGCCCCCTGCACTTGGGCAGTTGAGGTTGACTGGGGGCATAAACTTGAAGTCCTGTGAAGGAATCCAGGGCAGGCACTGCAGGGAGCCACAGGGGCTGTGAGAGTGGATGCAGAAGCTTCCTGCCCACTCCCTTGGGCTCTTTGCTCAAGCACGGTCAGGCAGGAGCAGGGGGAAGGTGTGAGGACGTCCAAGCACAGATAGTGAACAGCAGGGAATCCAGGGTTAGGACGCTGGCCCTGTGGGGATCTGGGACCACTGAAGATATGGGTGCCATTTGTAGGATTATAGATAGCTCGGTGAGGTAGAAATAGGCAGTCAGGCAGGGCTGGGCCCTTGAGGGAGTCAGTACAGAAGATGAGAATCCATCAGAACTGTGGCTGGGGGTGCATCTGAAGATTAAAGTCACAGTGGCCAGATTTACATATTTCCCTGAGGGATGAATGGAGGTTTGGGATTATTGGCATCGCCCTTCTAAGATTTCCCATTGTCTCATTAGGAGTAGGTCACCCTCTCCCACACACTAAGACTAAGACTGCTGAGGTTAAAGACAGGTTAAAACTATAGATTATCGATCAAGGTTAATGGTGTCACTCATGTCCCCTTGCTACCATCGGATCAGTATTACCTAAATGATCTTATTGGTTGACCCACATTGTACCTGCCTCAGAATTTTGCTCGATAAAACTTCCTTTGAGAGGTGGGTTCTTTGGCAACCCATTCTGGATGCCTCTTGTCTCTCAGGAGCTATTCCTATTCCCGGTTCCCCATTCCTATTCTCCAATAAATTTTCCTACTCTTAACCTCCACTGTTTCTTAGAATTCATTCTTCAACTTCAGGGAACACAAACTTGGTGTATTTGATATCTAGCATTGCCCTTACGTTACCTTGTGGAGAGTGGGAAGAAGGACCATTTGGGATGAGAACCTCTGGTTCAGGGCTTAGGAAAAAGATCTGGAGGGGGCTGGCAGGGCTTGAAGGTCCGGCTGTCTCACAGACGCCCCAGAGAACCCACAACCCTGGATTTTAGTCTCCATCTTGAAGCTGAGCTTGGAGGCCAGGAGAAGATAGGAGGCTTCCCGGGCTGGTGGAGCAGCTGGAGAGGCCGGTTTGTGGTTTGCAAGACCTCTGGGGGCTGGGGATCTCCAGCTGACCAGGCTGGAAAACCTTCCCAGGCTCTTGCTAGGGGCTGGGCCACCTGACAGTCCAGGGGACACAGGGCGAAGCCTGCCAGGGCCTGTGCTGGAGAGAGCGCTGTCTTGGTCAGGATCTCCCATCTGCATGTCTGTCATAATCCCTGAGAAGTCAGAACATGCCATGTTCAAGGCCCTGGGTCTATCCCTCCCAGTCTCTTCCTCACTAGCAACTGCACACAGCTTTGGCTCAGACCAGGCGGTGGGGCTGGCCGCCCTGACCTGAGCTTGAGCCCAGGGGCAGGGACAGCTTCAAAGGCTGCTGAGATTTCTGGCATGGCCCAGGCCAGCAGCCCAAGCTCAGACCTCCCCAGGTGTGAGCTGGACACTGCGCCATCTCCCTTTATCTTGCTGTGTGCAGGGCAGGAGGGCAGGGCCCGCCTCACCCGACACCCCTGGGGACAACAAAGGGACAAAGCCTTGCCCTGGCTCAGATCCAGGCCAAGTCTCGTGGATGTGTGCTGGTGAGTGTAGATGTGTGTGGGCGTGCATGTAGGTGTGTAAGCGTGTGGATCGTGTGGGTGAGGCTGTGGAAGTACATGTGAGAATACACACGAGCACGGGGTGTGTGAGTCCATGTGTCACGACAGCAGGCGAATGTATGGTTGGGTGTGCATGGTGGTGTGCATGGTGGGGTTCTCCCCAACCCCCACCAAGAAACTTTGCCACTGATTATTGCTTGTTTCATTCAAGTCTTTGTTCAAGGGGAGAAGGACCTGGAGTCCAACTCCAGGAGAGACAAGCAGTACAGAACCTAGTTTAGTGGGCGAGCTGTTTAGAAACAAGATACCTGACAACAGACCAGTAACAATGAATGTGTCTGTGGGGCCTCAGCCCAACCCTGCCGACACACGTGGCCAGGGGAGAGCTGCAGATCCGAGTTCAGTTCCCAGCCCTGCCACTCACGTGTGGTGGGTACCTGGACGAGTTGGTCATCAGGCTGGACCTCCATTTCTTCATCGGCAAATGGGTACAATATTGTTACTGGGTAGCTCCTTCTAAAAGTGGCTCACCAATTAAATATTCCCGGGTCCTGGGTTACTCATCTCTCCCTGTGGAGTGAGATTCCAGGTTCTTCTTGTCTTGAAAAAAGAATTGGACGAAATGAGCAGAAAGTAATGGCAAAGTTTATTTGAAGAAGTAAAAGTGAAGCGTGAGAGAAACTGGCTGTACAGAGCAAGCTTGGCTGAGAGAAGAGAAAACACTCTGACAGAAGCAAGGGGGGCGACCATGAGGAAAGCGACGAGTGAGGGCTCCTCATGCCGGCTGCATCTTTATATGCTGTCCACATCTTGAGGAAACCTTGAGAACCTCTACATGCAAGCCCCGAGAGGTGGTGCAGGGATCCCACCGATCAGGCTGACCTCAGGTCTAGGCTGTCCTATTGAAAACCTGGAGTTCTCTCTCTCTTTTTTTTTTTTTGCCTTTTTGAGGCAGGATCTCGCTATGCAGTTCAGGCTGGCCTTGAGCTCACTTTGTAGCCCAGGCTGGTCTCGAACTTGGAATGATCCTCCTGCCTCAGCCTCCCTAGTGCTGGGATTACAGGCATGCCTCACTGGAATTCTTGTGAGAAGTCCACGTGTGTAGGGCTTTGGGAACTGTTCTACTCATGTGTCAAGGATCTTGCAATTAACAGGTCACACCTACTTCCCCAACCAGTTTTTTCCATGCCCTAATCTCCTGCCTCATTACCGCTGAATTTAGTGAGGTGTTATGAAGCCTTGTCCACCTGTAGAATGTAGCAACGGGGGTCTGGAGGAGTCAGCAACTTGTGTGACCTAGAGTGGGTCATAGCTGCAGTCCCTCCTTCTCTGCCCACCCCACTCCAACACATGGGGCTGTGTCAGAGCATAAAGGACCTTGGAACCCCCCCTCACTGTTGTGAGAGGTCCCAGCCAACTTCCCAGAGGCAGCGTGGGACTGGGTCCTGCCCGCCTGACTGTGACGGGCATTTTGGCAAATGCACCAGGCAAGCATGGCTTCTGGAGCCCCTCAGATCTAGATTCAGGTCCCAGCTCTCACCAGTCATGTCCCTCTCTAATTCTACCTTCCCCCTAAGAAGAACAATGCTAGTCCATTCCTTGGAGGTGTGCTTGTTGTTAGGGTAGCCACTAGCCATGTGTAGCTTGCATTCATTCATTCATTCATTTATTTACTTATGATTTTTTTTTTATTTTAAAGAGTAAAAGAAAGATAACATAATAATAGGAGGGGCTTAACAAATTACAGACAAAGTGGTAGGAAATTATCAATGGTTATTGTTTTACATATTGTTATCTATAAGATAGTTTCTCAGGGAAACAAATAGACAAATCATAGTGAGTTACAGACAAAAGAGGTAGGAGATTATCAATAGTTGTTGTACTATACTTAGGTATCTTCAAAGTGGCTTCTAAAGAATATAAATAGAACTATACATGAGTGACCTACTGAATAATCATTCAATAAATCTCAATGGTTGTTGTAGGAAACACATAATAATAAACATGGATCCATTTATGAAATAGGATAGGAACAATGCAAACATTACAGAGTTATGGATAGATTAGTAGGAAAATATCAATGACTGCTGTAATACATGGTGGTATCTTTAAAGTGGTTTCTCAGGAAGACAGAGATACACAAGAAGGATCTAACAAGTAGTTACAGCCTAAGGGTTGTCAAAAATCAAGTGAGCCGTCTGGGGCGAAAGCCATCTTTTGTAGCGTTTTCTCTCCAGCCTCCCATCGCATTGGGACCCCACAACCAGTTAGTGTCCTCTCCCCAACTGTCAGCACAGGCAGCAGGAATCCCGCTGCAGACTTCTCCGGAGCTCCACCACAGCCTGTACTGTCAGGGGAAGAATGGCTTCCAGTGAGTCTCTGCAGGTATTGTGCAAGGTCCTCCTGGTTTACAGCTTCCGAGCGGCTCTCGTGACCCCAGTCCACTGGACCTCTGACTCCATGGGCTTATTCTGCATTCTCATGTTCTCTGAGTCCTTGTTCAGCAGCTGCTCCTCCTCTGGCTCTGGACCTTTCTAGTTCTCAATGGCAGGAGCAAGAGTGGCCCGTCGCATGGCATGTATTCCCAGGGGTTGTTCAAAGTTTGAATGATTCACACACATCCGTGGGTGGGCAACTGCAGTCGGTGCATGGTGGGCCAATTGTGTCACTGTTTCTCTGTGTCATGATAGATCCCAATTGAGTGGTGGCGGCTGGCCTATGGGCCGGCGCGCAACAGCGCTTGCCACCGCATGGCTCCCCATGTGCTGGGGGCCCTCCCTCTGGGGGCCTACGAGGCAGGAAGCTAGCCAGCCGGAAGACCGGCGCTCCCCACCCGTGGCTCCTTGTGCGCCGGAAGCCCTCCTTCCGGGGGCCTACGAGGCCGGGAGTGGGCCGCCGGTCCAAAGACTGGCGCTCCCCGCCCGAGGCTCCCTGTGCGCTACTTATGATTTTTGAGACAGGGGCTCACTATGTAGTTCAGGCTGGCCTAGAACTCATAGTGACCCTCCTGCCTCAGACTCTCGAGTGTTGGGATTACAGGCATGTGCCACCATGCCTGCTCCACGTGTAGCTATTTAAATCTAATCATAATTTAGGTAGAAGTCCATCTTCTCAGCTATGCCAGGCACATTTCTGATGCTCAGTAGCTGCACGTGGTCAGGGACAGATATTATTTCCTCCATTTCAGAAAGTTGGAAGGGTGAGCACCGCCTTGCAGGGTTGCTGTAAAGATAAAATGAGACAACCCAGGTCAAGTGTTTAGCTAGGTCTGCCTCTGAATCCAGGGCACCAGCTGTCCCTGCTATAACCAAAGCCTCCCAAGGAGACCTCCTCCCAGCTGAGGCCAGCCGCAAGGTCAGGGCATCCCTAGGAACCGTGGCCATAGCTGCTGCCTGAAAGCCCTGGCGACACCCTCCCTTGAGCCACATTCTGAGGATGGGGACAAACTGTCGAACTCTGTCCAAGTAAACTTAGGCCCAGAGCAGTGAAGTGACTCCCCTGAGTCATGGGGGCAGAATCCAGGCCAGAATCCTGTTCCCTGATCTCCCTTAGCTACAGGCACTCAGACAGAGGGTCAAGATGGTCTGGGGCCTCTTAGACTCTGGGGAGCGGCTGGAGCTGAAGATTGGCCACATGTGCGGGGCTAGAGCAAGGCCGGCCCCTAGAACATCGAGCGCCTGATGCGAGCCAAGTGAACAAGTTGTTAGGCAAAGGGGTGTCACCTGACAGCAACCTGCCTCATGTATGAATAAATGATCGTCAGCAGTTGGGCAGTTCTTTCCTCCACCAAAAGGGGGTGCATCCAACCTCAGCTTTCGTTTTCACTCTTGCCTTCATTTCTTCATGGTCCTTTCCCCTGGGAGTTTCTGAGGGCTGCGCTGGACAAGGTGTTAGACTCTGGTTCCTAGGCCCCACATCAGAACACCCAGGGTGAGCTCAGAGATTTGCTTCTGTACCAAGAGCTCCAGATGTTTTTGATTTTTAGCCAGTTTAGGGTCACTAGGCCAGGAGCCCAGGGCCTGACTGGCTTAGACCAATGTTGGAACAAACATGGCTAACTCAGAGGGGCCTTCCCCTGCTCCTCAGACTTCTTTCAGCCATTCCACGAGGTGTCCTCTTCCTCCACTAATACACCTCAGAAATTCTCAGAAAGCCTGAGGACGGCAGTGAGCAAGGGCCTTCAGCCTGCTCACACTGGATGTGGCGAAGCAGCTGACGTACTAAGATGGACCAGGCTTGGCCCAGAAAGCGCTCAGGTCATGGCACTATGCTCCCCTGGGGGATTGTTTTTGGCCTGGACATCTTGACTTTGCCTCAAGTAGGTTAGCTGAAGAGGGAGCCAGGCCTGGCTGCCAAGAGCCATCCCAACAAGATGGCCGCTGGCCAGCCTTCAGTGTTTGGCTCAGGACGGCTCTCTCTGACAGGAAGTCTTTACTCTCCACAACAGAGTTAATCATGAATTCAAGGTCTGGTTTCCCGTTCTGTACAGCCCCCTGGAATGGGCAAGGCAGCCCACCTCAGGGAGAACCCCTTTTGATCAGAACTCACCAACTGTCTTGGTAACCTTGGGGCCTGGGAACAGAGCCATACTTGCCAGCGTCTCCTCCTGTGAGTGTGTGGGAATGGTGAGCCACACAGGGTGATGGCTTGGACTGGGTAACTGGGTGGCCTATGATCACTGGGGCTGGACCTTTCCGGAAAGTTCCCTGTCCTCTACAACTGGCTATAGCCTGGCCTCTTCCTGTCAGGACTCTCGAAAATGGAGTCCCTGTGGGGTGAGGAGGGAATTGTGTCTCCTCCATCAGTGCTCAAGGCTCAACAGGTCTCAACAGGGGGGTCATCATGATGCTGACCCAGTCCCCTCCCCATAGGGCAGAGCTCTGAAGATTCTCCATGTGGTTGACATTGAGCTAGAAGTTCAGGTTTGGAGGACTCTGCACTGTACCACCCACTTCCTGGAGATACTGAGGTGCCTAAATGATCCTCATTTCCCCGTTCTTTCACCTGAGGGCTGCCCTGTGTTTTAGACACAGGGACAGCAGGGAGCAGGATCCACTACCTTTGTGGAGCTCACATTCTTATGTGGGACAGGGTCGTACCTAATACCGTTTAATTCGAGTCAGAGCAAAAGGATGTGAAAAAGAGGAGTAAAGACCAGATGAAGAAAGGCTATTTTTGATAGGGTGGCTGGAGAAATAGCTCAGGAAGACTTGTCACCTGTTTCCCTGGTGGTGGAAATGTCCCGAGCTTTCTCAAGCTCCCTGCCATTTGCAGCATCTTAGAAGCAGAGGTTAAAATGCCCCCTGGAGCCCCCCTGGGTGACCCCACATATCTGCTCTATACCCTACTTCCTGGGAGGTCAGTGTTCTGTACCCAGCCTTGAGCCCCAGAGCTTCTGTGATGTGCTGAAAATGAGCAGGTAGCTGTCAGATCTGTCACCTTCAAGGCTCGGCAGTCCAACCTGGGGCCAGCAGTGTGGTCTGCCCAGGAAAGTGCTTCTGGGCACTTGATTAAGTTTCGTTCTGATGGTGGGATTTTCAGCACCGCCCTCGTTGCACGATGAGGGTGCACAGATGTCCTTCTGAGAGGGCAGGGTACATAGCTTCCTTTCCTAGCAGCAGAGGGTGTGGGTGACTTGCGGGCAAGGATGGGGCTGGAGTCCCTGCCAGCCAGTGGCTTGGACAGAGCTTAGACTCGGGAGTCAGGTGCTGCTGTCCCTGGGGCTACCTCTGTCCCTCTGTGCCTCAGTTTCCTCGCCCACACAGTGGACATCTTTGTCTTAAACTGCACCAGCCCCCGGCATGGTTAGACGCCTGATAGATGACAGCAGGTGCGGCTTCCCGGGCAAGAATCTTGATCGCTCTCGGCCTTGGTTTGTCATCTGTGCCATAGCAGTGCTGGTGTGAGGGTACTGTGAGAAGGAAACACAGCACCTGTCACATGGCCCCGCCCATTCTTGTGTCTGATCTGCTCTGAGAGTTCATCCCAGCAGCCCGTGGTTGAGGGCACACAGAGCCATCGACAGCCCTGGCCAGGCTGTACAGAGATGCAGCCTCTTCTCTGCTGCCTGATTGAGTCAGCAAAGAAAAAGTGGCGGAGAGGAAGTAGGGGGAAGGGCTCTCTGGGTGTCATTGCTGCTTTAAATTATGGTTTCAGAGTCAGGCATGGTGCCCTGTACTTGTAATCCTAGCCCTCTGGGAGGCTGAGGCAGGAGGATCCCAAGTTTAAGCCCAGTTTGGTCAACTTAGCGATTTAGTGAGAGCCTATCTCAAAATAAAAAATAAACTGTTGGGAACTGTAGCTCAGTAAGAAGGTCCCAGTTTCAATCCCCAGTATCAAAATATAAATAAAATAAGATAAATTTTGGTTTCAGAATTGGAACTTACAACATTGCTAATGCATTGCTGTACAAACAGGTTGCATACCCAAAGAGGGGAAGGAACCAGAAGTTGCTCAAAAGTGCAGAGTCACAGCTCCTACTTCCCCTGCCTTCGAGGCGCCTCTTGGCCTGCTGATGCATCCTCACATTGCTCGGCCTGAGAGGCTAAGCGTGTGCAGCCGTGTAGGAGCAGCCCCTCCTCAGAAACCCAACCTGACTTTTCTCAGGTTTGAAAGCAAGCCTGAGGCCCTTTTCCTCAGCCTTCCCCCACTCCAGCCCTTTCCTCATGGAGACAGAGAAGTCACAGCTTTGGGCATTGACCAGTGCCTGGAAGGTTCTGGAAGGTTCTGAGCTTCCACGGTATCAATTCTAGACTTGTTAGGATTTCAAAATGGCAGCCTGTTCACCTTGGTCAGGGCTAAAACGAGGACAAAGTTCTTTCCATGGAGTTCCCAGAGGGGTCCAATAGGGCCTCTGCTCAGCGGAGGATGGGAAGCTGTGGGCCTGAGGCAGAGGATGCAGAACAAGCCCTCCAAAATGCCCCTAAGCCCAGAGGGAACAAAGGTACCCAGCACCTGCCAGTGTGGCTGGGTCTGTGCTGGAAACAGCTTCTGTGCTGGAAGCCCTTTGAGCCCGAGCTTCTGCCCCTCCAGGATCAGCAGGGTTGGCTTGGCAAAGGCTTCGGATCAGAGAAGGCCCCAGTGCTGCGGAATGGGGCTGCTCCGGGAGGGATCTGCTTGAGAGCATCACCCACCAGGATAAAGGAGAGGGTTCATGACAGCATTAGGCACAGCCCCTGGGCAGGCTTGATCACCGTGTTGGGGACAGGGCCTGCATGTTCTCCTTGGGTATCTCTTGTGTGGATGGGTAAATAAGAGGCAGTCTCTCGTAGTATGAAGAGCATCGTTTTCTTATCTCACCTTAATCATTCATTAGCTTTGTCACCATGTCACCTTGATCAAGGCATGCTCCATCTCAGGGGCTTAGTTTCCTCAATTATGAAAAGGTAGCATTGGGATTGCCAGGCATGGTATCACATGCCTGTGATTTAAGCACTTGGGAGGCTGAGGCAGGAGGATCGCTGCCAGCTGGAGGCCTACCTGGGCTCCATTGTGAGTTCAAGCCCAGTCAGAACTACTTAGCTAGATCCTGTCTCAAAAAAACAAAACAAAAGGCAGCATTTGGAGCTGGGGATGTGTGACTCAGCGGTAGAGCGCTTGCCTAGCATGTGCCTGGTCCTGGGTTCCATCCCCAGAAGCCACACACACACACACACACATACATGTACACACACACACACACACACACACACACACACACACACAGGGTTGGATAAGATGTGTCCCTGGTCCTCTGACCTTTCCTGCCTGTTTAGAAAATGCCGCTCTGTCCGGGAGAAGCCAGACAGCAGCTGGGGATGAGAGGGAGGTGGGGAGGCTCCTTGTCCCTGCAGATGCCCCCCTTTCCGTAGTCGGCTTTCTCTCTGGCAGGACCTTGAGACACTGGAAGGCTGGCCCCTGCCCCAATGGCTTCCGGCCGCACCATTAGGCACAGTCAGCCGAGCCTCTGTCCCTCGTCCCATTCCCTCTGCACCAGCCTGGCCCCGTCAGGAGGAGTGAGCTTTGGGAAGGCTCCAAGGGAGCGGAGGGGACACAGGAGGCCTGGCCTGTGGGCGGGTGGTGGGAAGAGCGGCAGAGAGAGGAGAAAGCTGGGGACTAAAGAGGAAGAGGCCTCACTCTGCCCATAACCTGAATGTCCTCGTGCCCTGACCAGCTCAACTGTCCAGATCTGCCTGGCCCCAAAGATGCTCTGCCTGCCCACATGTTTTCTTTTACTTTTTGGAAACAGGGTCTAGCTAGGCTGTTAAATTGTCCTGGCTGGGCTGCAACTCGTGATCCTCCTGCCTCAGCCTCCCAGAGTGCTGGGACTCCAGGCATGTGCCACCACACCTGGGTCTTCAGCTCCATCTTTCAAGTGCCCTTCTTGCCTGGCACCCCACTGTCCCTGTGCAGCCTGGCAGAGGGCAGGGGAGGAGAAGCGCAGCTGTCTCTGCTGGGGCATCACTGGGGACCTGGAGCTTGGGGGTTAAGGGTGCTCAACTCCAGGATGCCTAGCACCGGTCATAGGGAGCCCGGCTTAGCGCCACTCCCCTCCCCCAACCTGGCATGGAACGCAAGGCAGCCGAAGGGCTTTGCGGCTGGCATGGTGCCCTCGTGTGCATGCAGCCACTGCACGGGCCCACAGATGCCACTGTGCCGTGGCCGCTGCCTGGAGATTTCTTCGGGCTGTGCCAGGGAGGCCCGAGGGAGGCGGCCTCTGGCCGAGGAGCTGTGCGGGCCCAGAGGGAGGTGTGGGCTGGAAGGCACTGTTCTGCGCTCCAGTGACATTTCCCTGGCACCGATCTGCCACCAGAGAGGCTTTCTGCCAAAATGAAAGTATCCAGGGAAGGAAGTGTGGTGAGAACGAACGTGAGGTAGAGCACTGTGGGGCCCCAGCTCGGCATCCCCGAGAACCAGCCACGCGGCCGGAGCGCGGCGCCAGGGCTCCGGGTGCAGCTCGGGGGCCTCTGGTGTGTGACTCAGCCTCACCTTTGTCATCTGTCGAGGGCAGGTGCCACAGGCCAGCCTCATGGTGTGGGCTTTTGGTGAAGCTGGTAGAACTGTACCCGCTGCGAGGCAAGTGTTGGTGACCTCAGCGCTTTATTAGAGACGTTTAGGGCCAAGAGCTCTAGACTGCAGGTGGACAGATAAGAAATAAACACATTCAGATGATAAACGGTATGTTAAACAGCCCAACAGGGCAGCACACAGCTGGGGGACAGTGCTGAAAGGCCAGCGGCCTGCAGGGTCACCACGGCCACCTCCCCAGGTCTGGCGCAGGGTGGGCACCTGACCCTGCCTCTGGCTGCCCACAGACCAGCCGCATGCACTGCGTCTGGCTGGGCCCCTGGGGCAGGCGGGCGTGGGAGCTGTGGTGCAGCTCCAGCCAATGTCACAGCAGCACAGTTGTGACTAAGAGACCACTACCCAGAGAAGGAACACAGTGGGCAGAGAGGGAGCAGAGTATAGCACGGCTGGGTGACCAGGAGCCCCTGACGGCCTCCGGGGAACTGCAGGGGGTCACATCCTGGTGACCAAGGAAGCCAGGCTGCGGGGGGCTGTGGTGGCCTCAGGAACCTCAGCAGGAGGGGGACACATGGGCGAGGGGTGGGGACATGGGCAAGGCAGGGGGCTGGAGGGGCCACCTGTGTGGCAAAGTGCGAGGTGGATCTGGGTGAACTTGAGTGCCCTGGCTTGGCCGGTGGGAACATGGAAATACTCAGGAAAGTGTCTGGCTATAGAGGCAGGTGCTTGCGCCCGCAGGGGACAGGAAACCTAGCCCAGCTTGGGTGGCACCAGGAGGACGGGCCGAGCACGTGGGTGGGAAAGTCGGGAATTGTGGTGACCTGGAGTGCAGAGCCTCAGGAAGGCCCCCATTTGCCTCCTCCCACTGTCTGATGGAGGCTTTGTCCTGACTCAGCCTTCCTGGCTCCCAGCCAGGCCACCAGATGACCAGCTTGCCAAAAACATGATTTCAGGAATATTCTTTAAAACAGTCAATGAACATGCTTATATTTTAAATTTGACTCAGAAATTGGCTTTCAGAAAGTTGTTTTTAGGCAAATTGCCCTGCTTCCAGCAATTCTTGAGAACACAATGGTTGGCAGCAGTGGCTTGGACCTCGGGCTTCTCCATGGCTGTTGGGGGAAGGGGAGAAGGAAAGGGGGAGGGGAAGGGGGGAGGGGAAGAGGAAAGGGGGAGGGGAGGAGGAGGAAGGCGCTCCAAACCCCCTCTGTGGGTCCCCCGGGCTCCTGTGCCACCCTGGGCCAATGACCATGGCCTGCTGAAGGCGCTGGTGGCAGGGACCGCTGCTGGGGCCGAGAGGGGGGCGCTCTGGGGGAGCAGCCCTTGTGCCCCAGCTGAGCTCCTGCTAGGGGAGGCCAGAGGGGCCAAGGCTGCCGAGCAGCTGAAGGGTGGGGGCTTCGCTCTGCAGGCGGCCGGGGCGCTGGTGACAAAGCCACGCAGGCTGCGCTCGCTCGGGGAGGCTCGGCTACGAACAAACGAGAGCTGCGAGAGCGGGGCCGGGCTGAGGGTGGAGGCAGGCAGGCGGCGAGGAGAGGAGCGCTGCCCGCGAAGCGTCGAGAGAGGAGAAGGAGCAAGGCGGAGGCCTGCGGGGGGAGAAGCTTGGGGGTTGCTGTCCCCGCGGCCCCGGAAGGGCTCCGGGTGCCCCGGCTGGGGCAGCCGGGCTCGGCTCCGTTTCTGCCCCTGGACCTTTCCTCCCTTTTGGGACACGCCCGCCCGCTCCTGTCCCGTCTGGGGACCGTGCAGCCTGCTGCATTGTCGCACGGCCCTTGTCCAGGGACCCCGGCCCCACTGGGACAGATCAGAATGTCTTCCCGGCTTGGGACCGACCCCACAAAGCAATGCGGTTGGCTCGGCTGGCGACCCAGCCAAGACCTGGCTCTGCCACATGGTCAGAGGGGCCACGCCACTGCGGTGTGCCACCAGGAGAGGCCGCAAGCGGGTGCAGATGGGGCTCTGAAGGGGGCACTGTTGGGTTTCAGACGCACTTCCTGTTCTTGGATCCTGGAAGACACTGGCTTTTTTGTATACACATTTGGTGGTGAGGGGGACAGCACTGGGGCTTGAACCTCAAGCCGAGCACACACACTATCACTAAACTGCATCCTCAGCCCTTTTTATATTTTTGACACAAGGTTTTGCCTGGGATGGGGTTAAACTTGCAATCCTCCTGCCTCAGCCTCCTGAAGAACTAGAATTCTAGGCATTCAGTCCCCAGAGAGGAAGAGCAAGAAGGAGAAGGAGAAGGAGAAGGAGAAGGAGAAGGAGAAGGAGAAGGAGAGGGAGGGGAGCGGGATGGAGGGATGAATTATACTTTGCTAGCTTCTTTTTGGTATTTTTTTTTCTTTTTGGTATTGTTGAGACAGGGTCTCACTATGTAGTGCAGGGTGGCCTTGAACTCGCTTATGTAGCCCAGGCTGGCCTTATACTCACAGTGATCCTCCTGCCTCAGCCTCCCAAGTACTGGGATTACAGGTGCCACCACCCGTGGCTTGCTTCTTTTTCAATTCACACCTATTTAAAAAAAAAAAAAACCTGAGACATCTTTGAAGATTATTTGAATGGAAAGATTTCTATAAGAATAATGAATAATGACTGATTTTTTTTTTTTTTTAAAAAGACAGGGTATTGCTTTGTAGTGCAGGCTGGCCTTGAACTCACTGTTGTTGCCCAGGCTGGCCTCAAGCTCTTGGCAATCCTCCTGCCTCAGCCTCTGAGTGCTGAGATCATAGGTGTGCTCACACCCGGAAGGAGGAAGACTTTTTCTGTCTTTATTTTCTGAAGAATGACTTTAAATGAACTAAATGCTAAAAACTCTCAGAAAGCTCAGAGAACATCAGCCGTCGGACACATAGGCATTTGTTTCTTTTAGGTGTTTACCTTGGTTAGTCCATGTTGCAGCGCACGATGACTCCATCCTCCGAGGGGAGTTGGTGCCTGGACATAACACGTCCTAATTCTTCTTACGCCCACTGCATTTTTCTCTTGCTGGTGTTCACCTAAATTACGTCTTACGTCAGCCACCCTGAATACAGATAACGAGCAGAAGAGCAACTGGTGCGCTGCTGGCCGGCCTCCGAGTCTCGCTGGCCAAAAACCTGCGTGGAGCCCTGGGCGCCAGCCCCGTGCCAGGTTGCGAGGCTTGGCCCAGACTGCAGCCCCTGCTCTGCTGGGACTCCCTGCCCCGCCTTCTCCCTTTGTGGTTCTCAGTTTGATTCAACAAATACTCGTTGAATACACAGGCAGGAGGGGGAAGCAATGGTAAAGGAGCGAGTTGGCTGGTGGTGTCAGGGTTCACAGCGGCAGCCAGGAGGGAATCGCACAACTGTCCTCCGTCTGAGGTCTTAAGAATGGCGCTCTCCCTCCCTCCACGTTACCCCAGGAGAACTCAGTGAGCTGCTACCACCGAGCACTCCCCGCTCTGCTGGTCAGGGTGTCCACGCAGCCAGACGAGGCGCTGCTTAGGAAGCGGGCCGGAGCTCTGCTGCAACCGAGTCCACACAGCCGGCTGTTCCTGGACGGCGTGAAGGGCGCCGGGAAGAGGGCAGTTCAGGGCTCGCTCCTCCCGGGCACCTCTCAGAGTGCCGGAGACCCCAGTGTAGCGAAACACAATTGCATCTTGTCTATCGACTTCCCGAGTCCAAGAACATTTCAAGGCGAGGAGGCAGCCGTGGTCTGCTCTGATACCTTGTTTGTCCTTTTATTTTCCAGTTCCTCAGCCCTCCTCTTGCAGAGGGAGACACAAGCAGAAGCGGGCTCTCAGGGTCCACGTCCGTGACATGACATACAGGGCAATCGTGTCTTTTCCTTTCCTCCCTCCCTTTCTCTTCCTTCATTTTTTTCTTTTCTCGCCCCTCCCCCTGACCATCTCTGTCTCTGTCGCTGGTTTCTGGCCTTGAAAGAAAAGCCAAGGCAAACGTCAGAACAGTAAGTTTCCAATCTGCAGACGTGCCCTATGGCAGCACGTGCTGTGCTTACCTATTTCACAGGGACATCACGGCAGGAGTACACTATGCAAGCACAAGCCGTGTCACTTCATCCAAATGGCATTTCTGGTTTTATTATCACCAATCGACTCCTTGCACCTTAAAAAAAAAGACTAGTTTTGTTTACCCTTCTCACTTATGCTAAATAAACGCATTTCACTCAAGGAAGGCAAAACTAGGTGGGTGTGGGTTCATTGCACAATTGGATATTAAGGCAGTGTCTGAAGATAAATGCTTTATGACCTCAGCATGAATCAGCTCGCGGGCTATGGAAACATGTGCCGTGGCTAACAAGACACTTGCATGTGGCATGCGTGTCACCCAGGGGCGGAGTCTCCCGGTCACCCCCGTGCGTGCCGTGCGCACAGCTGCGTGAACGTGGACTCCATCCTCTCTTCAGTCCCGAACTCTGCTCAGGAAGCTGGGTTTGGGGGCCCCTTCCGGGGCACAAGCACCCCATGATAAGGACACCCAACTAAGAGGCACTGCTGACCATGTACCAGCCACGTCCAGCGGTGGGTGCTCACAGACGCTTCTCGTCTTCAGCTTCGGGGGCTTCTGGGCACCTGGAGTGTATTCTGTCGTCTCTTGCTTTTCTCACCTTGCCCATGAGGGCACTGAGCAGAGGGCAGGTGAGTCACTTTCCCGAGGTCACACGGCTGAGATTTAAATTTGTGCAAGCTGGGTTGGGTGGTGCACATCTGTAATCCCAGCAGTGTGGGAGGCCAAGGCAAGAGGGTTAGCCCAGTGGGGGCAACAGGGTGATTAAGCAAGACCCTGTCTCAAAGTGAAAATGTGAAAAAGGGCTAGGGATGTAACTCAGTGCAAAAGTCCTGAGTTCAGTACCCGTACCACAAAAGAAGGAGGAAGGGGAAAGAGAGGAGAAGGGTGGAGAGGGGGGAGGGGAGGGGGAGGGAAAGGAGAGGGAAGGGGGAGGGGAGGGGGAGGAAAAGGAGAGGGAAGGGGGAGGGAAGGGGGAGGGGAGAAAAGGGGGAGGGGGAGATAAGGGGGAGGGAAGAGGGAGGGAAAGGAGAAGAGAAAAGGGAGAGTAGGGAGAGGGGAATGTGAAAGGCGGGGGTGGGGGAGGAGGGAAAGAGGAAGAGGGGGAGGAGATGGGCACGACCGCCATCACTACCGTCCCGTGCCTGGTGTAGAAGGGGACTTTCTAAGGAACGAATGAGCTAGGATTTCAGGGTTCTTCCCTGCTGTGGCTCCGTGCCTATTTTTGTGTTCGTAACACTTCACTCTTTTTTCTTAAATAAGCTCCCTAAACCACGTGGCCTGTAGTTCCCTACAGAAGCCAGATTCCTCCCAACTTGACTGCACAGCCTCTGTTCCTAATCTCCAAACCTGCGTTTCTGGCTGATGAACGCCTGGACGCACTGCTGCTGGACAGGAGCTCGGAGGTCTTCCTTGAAGACCATGCTGTGGGATCATCACCACCCGCGGCTGCAAACTGCGGGGAAAGGGGCATGGGAGCCTTGCAAGGGGACCAGCTCCCCCTGGCCCGGGCAGGATAGGGCAGCCTCGGGTTCCACCCGGGTCAGAGCGCACAGGCAGTGTCGACTTCTCTCTGTGTCCTCTGCCACCAGGCCGGCTGGCGGATACACCGGGATCTTTCTTAGGCACTGCCATAAGAAATACTTCATTTCACATAGCTGATCCAATTAACAAAAGGAGACAAACAAATTAAAAGGCAGTCCCCGAGGTGGCTTTGACTCCTGTGCCTCAGTGGATAAACAACCTAATTAGAACCGCCTGGCTGAGGAAGAAAGCAGCCTCCGCAGGAGGAGCGGGCTTTGAACAAGTAGTTCTTGTTTGGCGAGAGTCTGCCCATGTCATCTCAGAGCCAGGGCTGGGAGGAAACGCACTGAAAACTTTGGTTAGAGACGCAGATGGTGACAGTGGATACATAGTCAAAACAGCTATTGGAGGAAATGGTGTGTGCTACTCATCTGCTAAAAATGGGATCTTGGCTCCCAACAGGGACCTGGCGAGGTCTCCAGGACCCTTCTTCTGGCCAGCCGGCCCTGCGTTTCCCTACACTGACGGGCAGCGCTTAGAAGAATTAGTGCTGCCCCGTGCCAGGGTCACCTGGCTTTTCTGCCACCTCATTCCAGGGCCCTCTCCTCGCCCCTGGCTTCACACAGAAGTGTTTACCTGATGCCGAGGAAGCGGACCCTTCTGGGTCTGCGCACCTTGACTACAAAAGAAACGACTTGTTTTCATATAAATCAAAGCCAGGAATACCTCTCTTACTAACAGCAGAACCAGAGTGAAAGCACAGTTTGTCTGAGAATGAGGGATGAGGGTGGCTTTTGGCTTAGCTCTAGAAACGTATTGTCCAGGCCGTATCTCAACTTCAAGGTAATGGCTCTCAGCTGGGCGTGGTGGCGCATACCTGTAATCCCAGCTCTCTGGGTGGCTGAGGCAGGAGAATCAAAGTTCAAACCCAGCCTGGGGAACCGAGTGACTTATCAAGACTCCATTGCAAAGTAAAAGTAAAAAGGGCTAGGGATGTAGTTTAGTATGAAGGCCCTCGGTTCAATCACCAGTACAAAAAAAAGAGATGGCTTTCTGCAACAAACCAATCAATAGATTTAGAGCAACTCTACTTGATATTTTTTTGGCAGGGGCTTTGAGACAGGGCCTCGTTATGCAGTTCGGGCTAGCCTTGAACTCACAATGTAGGCTAAACTGGCCTTGAACGCATGGTGATCCTCCTGCCTCAGCCTCCCAAGTCCTGGGCTTAAAGTTGTGTGCCACCCTGCCTGGCTTCTAATTCATATCCTCATGGAATAAAAGAGAAGGAGAAGAGGAGGGACAAGAAGAGTAATAAGGTAATGAGGCAGGCATTTTCCTTTCCGTATATTAATACACATTATGAATATCCACATATGCATCTGGTAATTAAAAGTGTGACCCCACACACTGATCCAAGTGAAATGACTATGTTCACACAAAATCCAAATGTTTATAGCAGCTTTAACAAACCTGGGAACAGCTCGAATGTTCCTCAGTTTGGGGATGAACTGTACATCCATTCCACACTGTGGAATACTACTGGGCAGAGACTCTGGTGTAGGCAGCAACTTGGAGTGGCTTTGAGGGTACTATGCTGAGTGCAAGAAGCTGGACTCAAAAGGCTACACATTGAGTCTGTTTATGGAACATTTAGGACAAAGCAAAGCAACAGAGATGGAAAACAGATCAGTGGTTACCCGCAAGAGGGCAGCAGAGGGAATTTGGAGGGCTGGCGGGAGTGTCCGCCATCTAACTTGTGGCGGTTACACCAACCCGTGCATTTGGGGAAACTCAGAACTACACACCCCACAGCCTGACTTTCACTCTATGTAAACTAAGAACAAAATAAAACCCACCTGTCTTACAGCAGGACAGGTATAAGCAGGACAATGGAATACCACAGGAAGCTAGAAACTGAACCAAATATGAATAGTTCATCCATTTTGCTAAAGATGGCAGTTTAAATCCACAGGGGAAAGATGCACTCTTTAATAAACAGTGCTGGACTGAGGAATGGATAAAAAAATTGCGGTACTTTTATATAATGGAATATTACTCAGCTATAAAGAGAGATAAACTCGAGGATTTTACAGGTAAATGGTCACAACTAGAGGCCATACTCATAAGTGAAATAAACCAGACCTCCATGTGTAAGCAATGTATTGTCTCACTAGTGTAAGAACCTGAAAGAGTGAATAAAAATTAGGAGGTATGATAGACATTGTGAAACGAAAGGAAACTGCTCAAAAGTAAAGAGCAACTGGGGTGAGGGAAAAGGGAAAAGAAAGAAGGGGAAATTATGTATGTGTGTATATGCAGGAAAGCTAACATAGTTGTACTACTGACTTCTATCGCTTTGCTGAAAGGAACAGTTAATGATTACTTATCTGATCAATCTTGCATGTCTCTACTTGTTTTCCTGAGAAACCACTTTGAAGATAGCAATATGTGATACAATAACCATTGTTAATTTCCTACCACTAAGTAATTCAGTATTGCTTGTATTGTTCTGATGCTATTTTGTAAATGGATGCCTGTTTGTGAATATGTTTTCCTTCTTTTATTTTAAAAATAAATTTTAAAACATTTAAAAAAATAATAAACAGTGCTGAGAAAGCTGGTTTTACCATTAAAAAGAAAAAGATGTCTACCTCAAAGGAAACTCCAGAGAAATCAATCAAAGATATAAATGGGGGGGAAATGAGAATACTGGAGGAAAACACAGATTTTTTAATCATTTTGGAGTGGGATTTTTAAAAAGAATGATAAAGCCACACATCATAAAGAAAAAAATGAATTTAAAAAAATTTTTTTAAGAAAACCAAGGTTTTATTATATAGATCAGGCTGGCCTTGAACTCACATGGTGATCCTCCTGCCTCAGCTTCCTGAGTACTGGGATTACTTGTGTGTGCCACCACATCCTGACAAGACAGCCATTTTGCCTGAGGTCCTGCTCAGGCCCAGGGTGTCCCTAGTCCAGTGATAGGCCAGGAAAGAGGCACTGTAAGACTAACCCTAGCTTTGGGGCCCCTGTGGGGTTGGTGTGGTGAGGCCCTGCTCTGATCCAACTACTGTCTCAGCCTGCCTTTCGCTTCCCCTTGGGTTGAACCGAGGGTGCCTTCCGCCTTCCAGTAAACCTCTGCATGGGACTCTGTCTCCCAGTTTACTTTTAGGCAACTTAACCTAAGACACTCTCTTTAATATGTAAATAACTTTCCTAAGTCAACAACAGAAAAAATGGGCAAAAAACAGTCAATTTTGATCCGCACCCTCTCAAATTAGATTTTCTTATATGTGCCTCTGTGTGTTTTTCTGAGAATGTATCATAGAGTTGTAACCTCACAGGCATGTCAGAATAGACGTTTAAGACTGCAGGAGTGAAAAACTGGAAACCACCTCAGTGACCACCTGTGGGTTAAGTAATTATAATACCATGCAGTCATTAAATAATTATTTCAATATTTATAAATATAAAGCAGTGCTCAATGTTCAAATATGTTCTTTAAAATACATTCCACTCTGGGCATGGTGGCACATGCCTACAGTCCCAGCTACTGTGGAGGCCATTGCAAGAGGATCACACATTCAAAGCCTAGCAGAGTAACTTAGGGAGCCCCTGTCTCAACATAAAAATACAGTTTATAAAGGGCTAGTGATGTAGTTCAGCAATCCCTGGGTCAATCTCTAGTACCGAGAACAAATAAACAGACAAACAATAAACAACTCATTCCACAAAAGCTAGGGTTGTAGCTCAGTGGTAGAGAGCTTGCCTAGCATGTATGAGGCTTTAGGTTCCATCCCCAGCAAAACACACACACACACACACACACACACACACACACACACACACTCACACACTCAAATCCACAAAATAGATTTTACAATATATAACACATGTATAAATAGAAAAACAATCTGAAAAGTTATAGAAAAAAAAGTTAGTAATGAATTTGTGAGGGATAATGAGAGATGGTTATTTTCTTCTTCATACTTTGCTGTATTTTCTGAAACAATTTTAAATATTATTCATAGTGGTACCTCAGTTCATGAACTTAATTCTCTGCATTATTTTGGTCACAAAACGAACTGGACAAGAACAGAATCGAGATGTCCCCATCAAGGCCAACACTGAACCTAACCACTGAAATGGACTGGTTCTTCTCTGATTCAGTTTGGGACAAGAACTGCGGAAAGAATTAAATTTGTGAGCCGAGGTCCCACTGTATACCCAGAACAAAAAATAATACTTATTTCTCAAGAGGTGCTATTGGATAAGCCTTTCTTGTGAAATTAAGCCTCTTGATTGAAACGAAGACACCCTTTGATGTTCAGTGTCCAATTTCTTTTTTTTTTTTTTTTTTGGTTTTTCTCCGGTATTGGGAACCGAACTCACGACTTTGCGCTTGCCAGGCAGGCGCTTTTTGCCACTGAGCTAAATCCCCAGCCCCCAGTGTCCAATTTCTTTTAAGGCCTTCTGTGCCACTTATTTTTTCACTACCAGTACGTGTCTATAGCACAAGTTTCCATTCCTTGCATGGAGTTGGTTCATGAATTCGACATATCTCCATTCCCTTTTCATCTCCACTCCCTCCATCTCTTGACCCCCCTCCCCTCTGAGAAAGTTCTCTACTTCCTATCATCTTTTTTTCTCGAAGGTCTGTCGCCTTCTCTCTTTGGATGCCTCCTCAGCTCTTCCGGGTTCTCGCCCTTGTCTCTCAGGAAAGGAAGGCCACAGCCCACACCCCTTGGCCTAGCTCTGCTCGGGGAGTGACGCAAAGGCCCTGTCGCCCTGGCCCCTTGCACCTTGGGGAGCCTTCTTGTAGCCAGGGCTTTCTTCTCCCCGGGACACAATGAGCTCGAGCCGGACGCTGGACTCAGCCAGGATGGAAGGCAAACGGGCCGCTGGGCCCACGTGTGCGGTCACGTCCTCCGAGTCTGGCTTTCCCTAAGGACTCGTGGACAGGCCTGCTGGCCAGAGGACAGAGTCTGGGCCTTCCTGGACACCCCGTCCAATGCCACCTCAACTTCACAGCCACTGCCAACTAACAGACGTGGGTGAGGTCTGGGCAAGGCACTGCAGTGTGACGGTGTCTGCAGGCCTCGCTGGGCAGCAGCTCCCAAGTTCTCCCAGGAGGATTTTTGAGGCTGTAGATCACATCCCCAAGAAAGGGAGAGTATGCGTCTTCAGCAGATTCCTTTAGGATAAGGGTAACTCATGAGGTCATGTCTGGTGATTACAGAATTATCTTAATTATTTATCAATGTAGTCCAGGCCCAAGTATACTGGCATGAGCGTTCTACAGTACAAACTTTCCAAAGCAAGTCCAGAAACTACCTGGCGAAACTGCTGAGTGAGCAGTCCCAGACCACCCTGGAGCACGAGCAGGAGCTGCAGTGGACTGTCAGCTGCCGGAGGCTGCCCACGGAAGGGTCCCCGACTGAAGACAGAAGAGAAGTCAGCAACTTCAGCAGGATATGGTGAACATGCCTGTCATTCCAGCCCTCAGGTGGCTGAGGAAGGAGGATCCCTGCAAGGTTGAGGCCAGCCTGGGCTACAGAGTTCAAGGTCAGCCTGAACTGCAAAGGGAGACCCTGTCTCAAAAAGAAAAAAGAGAAGTAGCAACCTCTTAGTTCTGTGGTTTTGCTCTTGGCATGAACAGCAGACTCTCCTGGGATCTTTTGCAGACTTCGCCTGCCCAGCCTTCACCTCTGCAGATGATCCCAGTAGGCCTGGTGGGGCTCCCTGGCCTGAACAACCTCTGCCGAAGCTGATCCCTGATAAGCAGATAGGGCCCTGGGCCCCAGAGAGAGAACGCAATTTGTAATTCGTCTAAGGTGATAAAGGCCATTTGTGAAGGAGCCAGGCCTGGGACCCTGCACAGGATCTCTCCTGCCTCTGGTCCTGCACAAGGGCGAGGAGAGTGTTCCCCTTGGGCACCACCTCTGTCCTTGGTAACTCCAAAGCCCTCCCAGAGGACGGGGTGTGGCTGTGAGCTCAGCTCCGAAGGGCCACACAAGCCTGCTGTGGAGCAGCAGCTGTCACCACCTCTGTCCTGTATGCTGTCCCCAACCACAGTAGCACACAAGTGGCAGAAACATGTGACACACGCCCTGGTTTCCTGAACA